CTTATTAGACGTTTTGTTGTGTAGTATCGCTGAGTATTTTTACTCGTTATTTGTATTTTAACTCGCCCTACGGGCTCGTCAAAATACTACACAACTCGAAAAAATACTCAGCGATACTACACAACAAAACGTCTAATAAGATATATATATCTCCTCGAATGAGCGAACCCACACTCTAATAAGCGTCCCGCATCTCCTTGCATAAGCGAACCCACACTCTAATAAGCGTCCCGTATCTCCTTGAATAAGCGAACCCACACTCTAATAAGCGTCCCGTATCTCTTCAAACAAGCGCCCACACTCTAATTAAGTGCCCACCCCCTAAGCCATAGTGTCAAACAAGCGCCCCCCTTCCCCTTCCCCGTCACTTCTTAAATAGTAGGGATACAAGGAAAATCTGTTTCTATTGCCACTTGTCTTTTTTTACATTTAACGCTTCAACTACTGCAGAATCAGTTCAGGAGATAATAAGCGCCCACCTTGATTAAGCGACCTTCTTCCAACGAGTGCCCCTCTTTTTAGCCGGAATTTAAAATAGGCACTCGTTCCAGGAAATGCGGTATAGTAATTTGATCAAATTAGAGATACATTAATACTATCGCATAAAATTAACGCAGCTTATCCCCCATTAAAATTAACGCAGCTTACCCCCCATTCTTATTCCCGTGATCTTTTCACAAATTGTTTCCTAAGGAACGCACTTGACGGTACTAGCGAGATGGTGTTTTCCAGACTTCTCTTTGTGCAAATGCCTCGTTCAGCGTTGCAACAAATCGATTACTGACTCACCGGACACGGTAGCAAAGTATTTGCTTGTACCAACAAATTCCGCAAAAGACCTTTGGGTAAATGAGTGGCACGCACTTGGGTTAGCTAAGCAATAGACCGTACTTTCTATACGGGCGAAATAAGCCACGCGGGAAGTTGGGAGAACAGGACAAACGTTTCGCCGGTAAACTGATAGAAAGCGCAGTTTATTGCTTTAAAAAAATAAACTTCAATTTTCTATGGGTTTACGGGTAAGCGATCGGTTTTTCACCGATCCAGGCGCTCGTACGTTGAAAAACCTTCCGCACTCTCTTTCAGCTCACCCTTCACTCTTGAATATAATTCAGACATTGTCAAACCAGCCATGTTCAATAATGTACTATCTTTAAAGTCCACTGCGCGTCTTTTTTGTCGATCCTTTAACAAATCAAGTGACACTCAGGCACTTCTTGAACTCCCTCTTTCAGAGCTTCAGCTGCAACACTGTTATTCGTGGGTAATCGTTTAGACATTTTCTCACAGTGAGCTGTTGACTCAGATCTTACTCTCTGGAGTTGAGGTGTAAAAGTTCACCTTGAGAAAATTAAAGATGGAATGAGCATTAAAATACTGAGCATGTCCAAGAAGACAATACTTCTATTCAACATCTCGTCGGTGGGAAATTTTGGCAAAGACCAATTTCGACTTTAAAAAAAATGGATAGCTTGTTTCCACAATCATATTTCTTATATCAAAACCAAACTTGAGATCATTTGGCCAAGATCAGAAAAGCCAGAAAAAACGCAAGAAGAAAAATATTTGGAATGGAAGAGGCAACGCGAAACTTTTACACCTAAATTTTGGAAAAATTTTTACCATTGTAAGAGCGTGAAATAAGAGTTTGCAGATCAGTTACTTAGTCTCCAATCTGCTGGGCTTCACACTAACTTTTCAACTTACTAGCCAAGTGGCTAGTGACATCTTAGATGTTATGACAATTTCAGTTTGTTCACTAACCAAACTGGCTAATGGAAGTCGAAAACCACTAGCCAAATCTGAATTTCTACTAGCCTGTGGTTAGTGGGCTACCATTAGTGTCGAGCCGTGAATCTGACTGGTCCTAAGAGAGTATCCTTCTCTGGACAATGCTCCTGTGGTGTTGTACTAGAAAACCCACTAACTTTTAGACCTTCACATCAGTGTGCGTATTCTCCATACAGTTCTTCATACATTTACTAAGGCGCTGAAGAGGAGAGTTTGTTTAAGAATCACAAGCTTGTTTACTTGGTGATCAGTTCCTTTATTCTCCTGACCTTAACGTTTAATCCAGGGGTGATACTGAGAGGAGAAATTAGATGCTGGTCACTCTTAGGGATCAAAAGCTTAATATTGACTAGCATTCAATTTCACCTTACAGCATCACTGTTGAATCAAACCTTAAACCTTAGTGTTATATAACTGCCTCCCGGTTAGCTCAATGGATAAAGTGCTGGACTGTTGCACGGGAGGTCAAGGGTTTGAGCCCCAGCTGGACCAACATTTAAGGTCTTAAAATAATTAAGAAGAATATGCTGCCTTTCTACAACATCAAGAAATGGTTAGATATTCTAGTCTTCTTGGATAGGGACGAATAAATGGAGGTCCCTTCTCCTGCAGGGTTAGGGGTTAGAGACGTTAATTTCCCACACATGAGATTACTGTGTGATGGATGTCCTCCCCTGGGGTGGGATGGGTGGGTTGGGGTTGGTTTAGGTGGGTGAACCTAGTAGGGGGTTACGTGTCCTATTGTTTTCTCACCTGTCCCCTGTACAATAAAAACTCAAGTCCTCGTGTCCTATTGTTTTCTCACCTGTCCCCTGTACTATAAAAACTCAAAACTCAAAATGAATATAAGGAATGATTGCCAATTGAAGAGACACCCGATTGTTAAACAAATTCTCCCTATCACTGCCATAAGAAATGTAAAGAAATCAATAAAGAGAATAAACATTCTGATATTAAGTGGTAAAAGGGTTAGGTGGTTAAGTTTCCTGTATCTGTAACTGATAGATATCACGAACAGGTCCTGTATTTGTGGAAAACACAACTTTAGCAAGGAACTGCTGTGATAGGGAACTTGTTCCATTGTCTAGGAGAAGAGGACCATAATTTGCCATGATTAAACTTTACCTGTGAAAAAGTCTTTTCTGATATCTTGTATTTGGGACTAGACCTTTCCTTTTCAGCTTTCTGACAGATTCTCTTAGATGTTTTGGTTGAATGGGCCCAGATTCTTTGCATTTTTCCATTATATCACAAGCTGCAAAATCAAGAATAATGACCACTTAATGCCTAACTTCCACAGAAAAGAAACTCAGTTCAGAGAATCTTCTACTTTTTTCAGAGAAAAGCCAAGAAATTATCAAGATTAAAGTAACCGCACATACATTAGAGTTAACACTCAACTGAATATTTGGGACTTTGGACTTAAGTTTAAAAGACAGACCCAACCATAAATCTTGACAAGTATCCCACAAATGGAATATCCCATATTACAACCCACCCATTAATTTCACGCAATTGTATTGGCTACTTTATGTCACAAGGTGCAAAATCAACAGACAATTATCAAGCATTTACCTCTTTCTATGTTGATATTTGTCCTCTGATTATCTCTGTTGCATAATCAGCCATTCACACCGCCATTTACATTTTATCACAATAGAATCGTTGCTAATTAGTGTACATTGTAGTGTGACCATAATATATGCAGAATGCTAGCAGGTATAAAACTTGTGAATTTTGGCCCTACATTTTTATTACTTGAATTAGTGTGTGCGTGAATAAAGAACTTTGTTTTTACAGAACCGAGTAGTTAAAATTATCATCTCCATCAAAAAAAGGAAACAAACCCAGCAGGTAAAAGACTGCAGAAGAGTTTCCCCTTTTTCATTTATATTACTCTACATGGGAGGAAACAAAATCTTTTTGTAGAGTCCATTGGCAGTGGCATTAAAAAGCTGATCTCAAATGCTGCTGCTGAAAGTTTTAAAAAAGTGAACAACACTTGCTGTCAATGCACATTACAAAAATTCATGGGAGGGTTATAAAATAAAAAAAAAAAAATTTTGTCCTGCTGGCATTTTGGTTGAAATTGTACTTGGCAAAGAGATTGTCCTCAAAATTTCCCATATACTCTTGAAGTTTTGCTCCTCAACCAAACATTCATTTTCAGACAATATCTCAGCAGTGGACATGATCAGCTAACATATCAGGCTCCTAAAGGAGTTAATTTACTAATTGTTTGACATCACAGACAAAAAGCTTACTGATAAAGGGGTGAAACTAAAATGTTTCAAATGGGGGTTACAGCTACAAATTTCCATGTGTCCTGTGTGAGGTGGCTTCAATATTACTGCTCCTCCTTCTGTATCAGCAGAATCATGTTCATGTGGTGAAAAGAACAAGCAAATGGAGTATAGAGCCCTTTTGCCCTTCTAAAAGATTACACTTTAAGTTCAAGATTCCCTTCAGAAACTCAAAACATTACAAAAGCCCTGTCTCTCTGCTTTGCATTATGAAATTCCACAAGTAAAATGTTAATATTAGTAAGATGCAAAGAATTTTAAAAGCCCACCTACCAAAGAGGATAGACATGGAAATTTAAAAAGCAAAGATAAGAATTTTGACTATGAGCTCAAAATTACATGTACCTTCCTCTACAACCTCTCCAACAAATACTTTTGCTATTCCAGCCATAGCTATGACAACATTTGGAGGGATTGAAGTTCCTCCCGTGACACTTTGCATAAGCTGCAGATAAAAAAAACAAAAAACAAAAAAAAAACCAGAATATTCAATAAGGATTTTACTTACATCAGATTGATAAGGGAGTAAAACTACCCATATGGGAGTGTTTTGATTGCGTCGAAAGAAATCTGATTGCATTGGTTTTGTACTTCTCTGTAGCAGTTGGTTTACCCAACTTGTGCACAAATTATGCATAAGTTGGGTAAACCAACTGCTACAAGCCATTATGGCTCGTATGAAAACCTGAGGAAAGGTGTCTTCAACTCACCCGTTTAATTGCTGCCTTGGGAAATGCTGCCCTTCTGTACATTTCATAGCGGTTCAGTTGTTCTTCTGAGAAAGAAGACACAAGTAACCTGAAAAGAAAAGCGTTATCGAGATCTCCTTGTTGAAAAAGGTAAATATTTCTCGTCGATCGATAAATAATGCTAAATATTTTAACTCGAACTGGCTACAGAAGCCGTATTCCACACGAGCACAGGTACATTTAAAAACCAAACTATATTTTTACGTTCAAATTAAGCTTAGCATTAACACTCACTGCATTTTTTCTCGTTCATCATCGCTGCCTTCTGCAATTGGCTGACTTGAAGCAGTATTCGAAGGTCCAGAACTACTTTGTGAAACATCAACAGTATTTGGTTTGGTTTGAACTGTCTCTCTAGCTTTATCATCTGTCAGTCTCACTTTAGTTGGCGGTAAACTTAGATCTATGTCGTTTGCCGTTTGACTTTCACCTTCGTCCAGCTTTCGTTTCAAAACGCCAGTACTTTCTGACAATCCGTCCGACATTTTGTTTTTTTCTCTTCTTTCTCTAAGCACTCTGGGGAAGACTGGAAACCAGCGGTATGTCGGAACTGCCGAACGCTTCCCGAGAGTTCTTAATCAATTTGGGAGGAGGTCAAAAATAGATCCTGTAAGATGGCAGATAGGAATCCTTCTCCTCCCCGTTTATCCGCGGAGGAAATTGAGCTGATACAATACGACAACATCGGAGAAACAGTTTTCAGCAAAAAATGGGTGCTGGGAACTCTTATGAAGCTGGTTCAATCTCTTCAGTCCGCTACGGATGATTCCGAAGAGGGCGAAAATGACGAACGTGGTTCATCGCGCGAAGGAGAAGACAATTCATCACACGAGCTTAGAGATGATTTTGAAAAAGAGCTATGTGAACTTTGGGATATGTCAATGAACGGTGTAAGTATCTAGAGAAGCAGTAATCTTAAATTATTTTCGCGGAGTTGCGAGTTTTTGTGTGCGAGAGAATGCGTGACATGAAGAAACCTTACCGGGGAAGGGTAAGGTTTACGTTTGACGACAGGAACTTGGAAGTATAGGAGAGCAGATAACAAAGGGGACACAAGATTCACAGATTTTCGAAGTCACCTTTAGGTGCCTAAAATTATGAAATAATTACTATAAAGAACACTTGTCACCACCTTAATGGAGCACTTAATATTGTGCAAATTGCCTGACGGACAGGACAGACGATCGTGTTTCAGAGCATGCTCAATTGCAATAGTTAGGTAGAAGGGGGAGGGGAGGGCGGAGGATTTGGATAATGTCGATGAGATGGAAAGTTTGGCAGAGTTTTGCTTTTGTTTGCAGGATGTAGCAGCATTTTTGGAAGAAATGGACACTACTGAAGTCCTTTTAGATGCTGTATTGAAGTCACAGAATGCAAGAGTTACAGTGAGTGATGACAAGGACTTTTTATAACTTTACCTCTTATGGGTGACTAAGACAGAATTTGTCCTTACAATATCAATACAATATGAAGCAGACAAATGATGGAAATAAAGAAAAAAATATCAATAGGGGGATTATTAGTTGATCCAAAACTAGATTCTCCAAACTAACATCATAAGAATTCTGTGGAACACAGCACAGAGAATTACTAATGAGACATTGGAAGTGAAAGGGTTAATAAATAGGCTGTGACACTAAGGGCCTCTGGATATAGCAATAGTGCAACTGAAATAAAATGAAATTGAAAACTGTCTTTTTTTAAAAAAAAAAAAGTGTCCTGCATGAAAGTTGATGAACACTATGTACACTGCATTGTTTTACACCATGATGATGAAGAGAATAAATACACCTCAGAGCCATACTTCAATGTATATTGTAGATAAAGTTAATAGATTGCAGATTGTTTGGATAACAATGTGTTGCTTAATGTATTGGATTCAAGCTTACCCCCTCACATCAGTATCTATATTCTCGGTACTCTTCTCTATACATTTCTTTTGGTACTGATAGGGAGAATCCATTTAACAATCAAAGTTTCTTAGGTTGACAATTATTTCCTTTACTCTCATTTATAATGAATGATTCAACATTATTGTTGCACGGTGAAAGTTTAGATGCTGGGTATTTTTAAGGTTTTAAGGTTTAAATGGGTAAGGAGTTTAAATCCCTTTTTGGATTTGAATAGAATTTTAACCACCAAGATGTTACAAATTTAGTCCTGATGAGGGTGACAAAGATCAACAAGTATTTTACAAGGGTTTAAAAAAAAATGAAAACACTGTGGTTCACTAAATATAATGGAATACAAAAACAATCCTAACTCTCATCACAAGATTTTAGATCTTTGTAAAATGATAATGTGGGGTTTTTATACCAAAATATGAAAAGGTGGGTATTATCTGATCATGACAAATTGCTGTTTCCCTTTTAGTGGTATAAACATATGTTTGGTGAAAAGTTGTTTCGGTCTTTTGCTATGATAGGAAATTTGTGTTGGAATTCTGGCGAACATGGCTTGCAGTCATGAGGTTTGTGTCAAGATGTTGAGGAATAAAGATCTAATGTAAGTAAACAGTTTGATATAGTTAGATCATTAATTATTATTACTGCTGCAATATTTCTCCTCTGTGTTACCAGTGGCCTTTTAATTATTGTACAACAGTTAGACATTGATTTGGATTATATGTAAGAATATCCTCATACCAATGTTGTGCAAATAATACGTGAGACACATAGTGATCTTATGTTAAGTGTCCTTAGACTCTGGGCAGAACGGTCAAGGTTAAAAACTTTGTCAGGTCATTGTGTTGTGTTCTTGGGCAAAACACTTAAAAGATGCTTATTCATTTTCAGAATGTTTTTTTGTTTCTGGTGTGAAAATTCAACAATCATTTGTTATAAAGTCCTAAAATTAAGATTATTAATCACAAAGGGCTTCTCTTGTGATTATTAGTTGCAAAGAATGTTTTATTGCAGTTGATAATTGTGGAAAGTACAGCTATTAGTCGTGACTGTATCATTGATAGTTGTGTTTGACAAGCTTTAGACTTAATAATTGTGTATCACACGGTTATAATCGCATTTGACAGTAAATGTCGTTATTCATCATACTCCTCTTCAAAGAAAGGTCAAGCAAAACTCTTTTATGGACAGCTGCCATTACAACCAAAAATTCAGAATTTAGCATATTGCTTTTAAGGTAAATAACCTTTAGCACTTCCTCTCTCCACCCAACAATATACATGGGTACTGGCAAATTGAATCAGAGAAGCCTGACAAAGTGCTTGCAATGAACTGGCATGAAGTGACTAGTTGAATAATGGTATTACGGTAATACCATTATTCATTGACATTAGAGGGTTAACCCCCTGAATCAGACTGGCATCCGATCCAGGGGGAAATGGTAATACCATTATTCACCAAGTCACTTCATGCTATGGAAACTGGGACGAGCTCTAGCTGGATGGGCCACTTGGCTTCAGTACAGATCTTATTTATTTATTTTTTTTATATAAATAAAGAATTATTGCAATATCAATCCTTGAACTTATTTTTCAGTGATATTGTTACTGTTCTGCTTGATGAACCAGATGCTCCAGTCTTGGTGGAGGTAACAAGGTAATTACTCTGTTGTAAAGCATTCATTAGGGTCAGGGAGCTTTTCTTTAGTTCAAGGTAGGTAGGATTTAACCCCTTACACTCTATTCTTCAGACTGCTCTCCATACATTTCATATAGGAGAATGTTGTTATTTTACTATCAAGAGCTTCCTCTAGTTGATAATCACTTCCCTAATTCTCATAGGCCACTTTCATAAATGGCTGCCGGATTAATATTCTTTTGTTTAAATTTAAATTAGCCTTTCTGCCCTCGTTCTTGACCAGCACAAAATTCAAAAGAATACATTATCTCAAGCAAAGCCAGAAAGGCTAATTTAAATTTAAACAAAAGAATATTAATCCAGCAGCCATTTATGAAAGTGGTCAATGACTTTTTTATTTGATTCAGCAGTGATATTGTAAGGAGGAATTAGATACCAGTCACTCCTAGACGTTAGAGGGTTAACCATCACCTGTCCTGGTTGAGGCTCAGCCAACAGTTAGAAATTACTTCTTCCGAAAAATTGTGGCCAAATATCATTGAAAAAAAAATTGTTTTTCTCCTCCCTATTAGGACCCTTTTTCTTACAGTCACCATCAATATTTCTTATTTTTTGTTTACTTCTAGGCTGATTCATGTTTGTTTGAGTAATAGTGAGGTTGAATCACAGTGGATGGCAGTTTTGGAGACAGAAACAGTCTTTAAGAATTTTATGTACATCTTGGAGAACTCTTTAAATGGTGAGTCCAACCACAGTAAACAGGGTTCATACAGGTCATGGAAAACCTGGAAAGTCATGGAATATCAAAATTTCATTTTCGAGGCCTGGAAAGTCATGAAATTTAGGTGTGGTTCATAGAAAGTCCTGGAAAACCAATATGCTCTCTGTGAGTGAAAGGCAATAAGACCCAAAGATGAAAAGTTACGGTAACTGACGAGTCCAAAAATCAGATTTAATTTAATTGGAAATAAACAGAAGCATGCATTGTTTCCATTCCATGGAAAGTCATGGAATTTTAACAGGTTAAAAGTATACAAACCCTGGTAAATCAATGAGTTACTGAGAGGGGACTGACTCACCAAAAATATGCAATGTCACCTGTACTGCAGTCAAGCCCCTTCTTGGAAGATACCCTCAGGATGAGCAAAAAGTAGCATGTATGGTGTCTAGGCCATTGGGAAGGTTGTGGATAAAATTGATTTTTAGGTCAATATAGTTTTATTTGATTAAACAGTACTTCTCATCATTGTGTTTCAAACAATTCTGATTATATTGGATTAATAGAGAATTTAGTATTGGATCAACTTATAATTCTATAATTGATACTTTTCTTTTATTTCTCATCACTTGTGTACTTGATATTTTACCAATAACTGTTGTAAGGAGAAATTCTGTCTTAGTCACTCATTGGAGTTTAGGGGTTAAAGATATTTTCTCTCTTTAGAAGTCTGAATTTTAGAAGTTTACAGGGTTTTCCTGGGAAACTATCGACATTCATTTCTTGCTGCTATGTTAATTTTTCCTTTTTAGTGGATCTGCTTATCAACTGTTCCCAAGTGGTAGATAAGGTGTTGGATACAAGTGATGAAATGTTGGGAGCCTGGGCTGACTTACCTTTGGTTACTGCTGTTTGTGAAGCAATGAAACAGATGCATATGAGGTTATAATTACTATTATGTCAATTGTTTTTGGATAATCCCCTTGGGTCGTCAAATAGCTGGCTTAACATAACAGTATTTCTATATCTGCCACAACCAAAGATACTCAGTCATTATAATCAAATGTAATCAATCATGTTTCAAAAGTCATTGGTGTCAGAAGCACCTCAAGACTCCTGATGCTGCAAAAATATCTCCCATACTTCCCAAGAGATTATTTTAAATCCTATTAAGACTTTTTCCAGACTCCAGATTGTTTTCCCATATACTGCATTTATCTTGGATCCTTTACTAAGCTAAAAGGCAAATTTAAATGTTTGAAAGTGTATCTTAATAACAGGGATCCTAGCATGGCAAGATTTTAGGTTTGATTCATCCCTCCCTCAAGCATTTTTGAAAATAGCCAATGATCTGACAAGCAAGTTAGAGTTTCCTGAGTTGGTGACCTTTTCTTTTATTCTCATGACCTTTAAGTTTGTTTAGCAGTGATACCATTATGAAAGATTATATGCTTATCACTGCCGCTGGTAGTCTGGAAAAGTCTCCCGCACAGTGTTGTAAAGAGCATTAGAGCATTCCATGGAAATGTGCTATAGAAATCGATATATTGTTATTATTATTATTCTTATTCTTATTGTTATTATTATTATTATTATTATTATTATTATTATTATTATTATTATCATATTAGGGGTCAGAGGGTTGAAAGACACTTTGGTGACTTTTTTCGCTTTCAAAGCAGAATTTCTTGCTGGTTTCCTAAGTGTGGGTGTAATTATGGATTATTTTTGGTACCCTTACACTGTAGTCAATTGTGAAATTCATTTTGTTTTTTTACTCATCACAGGTCAGAACAGCTCCATATAGTGGAGACTCTTCTTCACATTCTTCAAATGATATCCACTGTGGAACAAGGTGTCCAGGGATTAGGTGAGTAATAGTCATATCCCATGTAAAATTTCATATAATTATCATCAGCTAATACTAATTCCTTAAGTATGATGACACACAATTGAAATTTACTCTCACTGTCAGTCATTACTCAACAATATATCATTGTTGTCTTTTTAGTGAGTTGTGTATCCGTTGTTCCACTTCTGTGTCATTTTATTGCTGAGTGTGGGCACGATGAAGGAGGCATCATTGTTGGTCGTGAAGTGTCACTTACTGAATCCTTCTCAGTGTTGAATGTTGTCCTTGTAGCAGATCCTATTACTGTGTTGACAGCCATGGAAAAAGGTAACATATTTAACCATTTAATTCCAAGATCTGATTGTCAGTTCTCCCCTCTAGCTACTATGTGTTTCCTTTATATATAGTGGTTATAAGACTTTGTGTTGGATCAAAATAACAATTTCTGCAGGATGAATTTGAGTATTCCTATTACCTGTGAGCTGGATGATTTGTGGTTATTATGGGGAGAGGTAACATGGCAATCATTTCTGAGAGTTAAAGGCTTAAGTTAAATAAACAACTAGATACCCACAGCTACGAGTCTGTAAGCAAGCTAATATGGCAGAAGGATGCTGGACTATACCTTTATGGCATACCTGTACATGGAAAGAAATATTTGTTTATTCAATCTTTTGTGTGATTCTCATAATATTATTTTTGGTTTTTCAGATCCAAGAATTATGAAGGTACTTCTGGGTCTTCTAGGATATTCCTGCAAGATTCATCGTAAAAGATGCAAGAGCAGTCTGAACAGGCTTTCATTCACAGAAACTGATGAACACAAGTTTGAAAGAAGCTTTAGCAAAGAAGAAAGTACCGAAGATAATGAAAAAACCAATGTAGACAAAATGAAGTCTACAGATGCTGATTCAGAACTCTTAACCAGTAAAGAACATGCAGAACATAGAGAAAGTGCAGGGTTCAGTGAAAATGCAGAAAAAAGTGGTAATCAGGCCAACAATCATGAAGGTAGACTTGTGGATCAAGTAGAGGGTGAGAGAAAGGGTTTCTTGCAGTTTAATTGCTTGTCCTTTCTTTTAAAAATTTATTTTACCTTAGGTTTGTGGAGGAAAGGACCTGTGTGCCCCCTGTTCTTAAATGAATTCAAATCCTGTTTTCAGAAACCATCAGGAGTAAGGGTACAGATGAAGCTCACAGTTCTTTACAAGAAAAAATGAAAGATCAAAATGATGGAATTAGTGATCAAGTCAATATTACTGATATCCACCATCAATACTTCACAGTGGCTACTAGCTTTTTAAAAGATGTCATTTCCGAATCTGCTAAGGTGAGCATTTTGTATTATAACCCATGGAAGAGCACATGGCATTTCATAACATTTCCAAGCACAGGATACTAGACTTCTGGAACCACCCTCATCTAATTGTTTCCTACCATATATGCTATAGACGGGTTAGGAGCTCTTAAATAGTGTTTGCTCTATAAAAATCCACTAATCTTTTCCCTCAGGCTCCAAAGTGTGTTTCAAGCATGTTAGCACCTCATGAAACCCTTCTCCAGAAGATAGTTCATTATGCAAGCAGAATAACGGTCTACAACACACTGGTTAGTTCAGCAGATCTGTTTACAAATTTTATGGCCAAATCTGAATTAATCCTGTGAATAATTAAATCAGGGAGTATCCAATAATTGATATGTTTCTTTCTTTTTGATGCCTTTCTGCCCATAACTGTACTGGAACTTTAAGGAGAAATTCCATTTTGGTCATTACAGGGATTGGAAGGGTTACACAAGTGTCAAATACTTTTATTTCTGGTCAGTTCTTGTCACTTAAGTTTAACTGATGTAAACAAAGCCACTTAGTGACTACTTTTTGTTGTATTGTACTGATTTTGTACTAAAGGTGTGCGAGTTGGTGGAATCAACACTCAGCACATCTGAATTGTCTTCTCTGCACAAGAAACTGTTGGAGAGACTGTATACACCAAAGGTGAGACAATGTCTGCTCTAGTAGAGCAAAATGCTTGCAGTACTTAACTCTCTTCACAGAAATTTCTCCAAGGGTCTTTGTTACACAGGGTATCATTTGCAGTTATCACTAAGTAGGAATCATAAACGAAAGAAGGCACTAAAGAAATAACCTTTCTAATAACATATTGTATCACGATCCTTCTATAGTTTTATTTATTTTGACTAGACACGTGCCAGTGTATTGTGTTTTAATAGCTATTGTGGTCTCACCTTTACCTTGCCTTCAATTGGCAAAAAATTAGAATTATTCATTGCAGCACTGAAACTACACTGCTTGAACTGCAAAGTCTTGAATATAGCCTCTCTCAACTAGCTTTCAATATCATGGGGTATTGAAATCTTAAAACAGCAATTAGTTTAAAATAAAAAATTATCATATACTGCTGTATACAATAGAAATTAAATGGACACTTTGCAGACCTCTCACTGACCTCATAGCATCTTTTCCTGATAATGAAACCCTGTTCGTAGGCTACATCTATTGCAAAACGAGTCTGTCTTCATTGAAGGCCACTATTGAGCATGAACAGACTTGGTGCATTTAGTGGATGGTGGCAAGATTTCTGTAGGTTTCTGCCTAATACTTATGTATTACTATCTAATTTTTATGAGTTTACTTGTTTTCAATTTTTTTTTTTTTTTTTTTATAGGTCTGTTTATAGAGGAAACAAGATGAAATTAAATTGCTAAGAATGAATCACTTTGTCGCTCGTGTACATTCTCTTTTCTTAATTACTTTTGAAAGGAAGTACCCAAAGTCAATTAGTAGGGAGACCCTCTCACCATTTTCTTGCCTCCTAATTTGTGCCTTTGCTATTTGCTTCAACTCTCCCACATTTAGGAGTGATCAATGTGAAAATTCTCCAGACAGTATTAATACAACACAACATAAGCGGTGAAAGTAAAAGTGTGAATATCATTAAGTGTGGTACGTGGTTTTGAATTATTAGCTAGTTCTCAAAACTAACGAAAGAAATAAATGATGATCCATTAGTCATACAGCAGAATTCAAAATCTAGGCTCTCCACACAGAAGAGCACACAAGAGTGATGCACTGTAAATAAGCATGGACATTAAGCATGCAATCTTTACTTATCCTTAATTATTAAGTGTATAATTCATTTCAGCTACATATTTGTGTAAATAAAGTGTACTGTTACAACCAGTTGGTTTGTTTGCATGATTCCAAGACATGGTTGAATTATTTTGTGTCAATCGGCAGCAGAAACTGTAAAGTTAAGTAGTGGCCACTTCCTGTTGGCTTTGGCTGATGCCACTCTAAAAAAAAAAAGTCAACCTTTGATCCCTAAGAGTGAATAGCATTTTATTTCTCCTTACAATATCACCCTGAATCACACATTTCTGGTCATGAGAATAAAGGAAATAATCACCAACTAAAGAAGCTTTTGATTCTTAAACAAATTCTCACCATCAGCACCTAAGAAGTGTCTAGAGAACAAGAGGAAAAATTTGTATACTAATAATAGGGTTTAAAGAACTGATTACACTCCCCTATCAAACCTACAGAAGGACTATATTTGACCCCCACTCCCATAAGATTGCATAAGATCCTGCACCCATTACACTACAATGATCTGAATGCACCAATAGAAAGTAGGAAACCTCTGAGAAGTATCGCGCTGCTTTATTTGGTTAAGTCATCATTCCATACATACTTTTCATTGTTAACAATATCTAGATTGGTTCAATGGTACAACCTCAATCTGATTGTAATGTTACTGGCTTCAAAAAAAAAAAACATAATGGAAATGATAACCGAAATGATCACCACCCTAGGAAGTTTTGATTGTTAAAAATTCTCCTTGTCAACACCAAAGGAAATGCATGGAGAACAGTATGGAGAATATGAATACCGTCGAACCTCGATTATCCGGACTCGTTGGGACCTCGTCGGTAAATAGTCCGGATAATCCAGAGTCCGGATAATCGAAAATATAAATATTAATGAGATAGAAATGTAAACAAAAGGTATGTAACAAAGGAAACATCATTTTAATTGTGATATCTACACAGCCTGTATGTATTTACAGATAATGCATCAGAATATTTGTCACGTCGCACTTGCAAATTTTGAAGAGCGCACAGGATAATACGCTGTTTCAACAGTCTTGTGAAAGGATTATTGGGCTTTTTGCAACTCTGAGTTTTCAAGATCACAACTAATTAATATTCATGAAAAAAATTAGAACCAGAGAAGAAAGTCCAGATAATCGAATAGTCCAGATAATCAAGGTCCGGATAATCGAGGTTCGACTGCATCAATGTTAGGGTGTAAAGGGTCAAAACTACCCTTATGTTTCTGCAAATGCTATCTCTTTATGTTCCTCACGCTGTACTTATCTAGTTCTCAAAAATCAATGAATGCACATACAGCATTTTCTGATTTGCATTCTAGGCACATAAATAGAGGTAGATACCAAGATAGTCATCAGATGCTTGCAATCCATATAAAAAATATTGATTTCTTTCTATACATAATTATATATTTTTTTAATGATCCAACATACTTTTCAATAACAAGCAACTGAAGGAGTTGTAGATGCATCCACAAATATGCAATTTAAGCTGCCAACAAACATACTATGGACTACTTGCAAAACATGTGCCCCATTTCAGAGGATTTAACTAACAATATGGCAGACTTATACAATTGTTTTCGAATACCTTCATTAAAACACATATACAGATTCTTTTGTTGGAAAATTGATGCATGTTCTGGAAAATTATAACTTAAAAGTGCCTTCAGCAATAGTTTACTGTGTCAACAGTGGTAACTGTGTTTGTCAATACATGTAGATATATAATTCAGAATTTGTGTACATAAACCATATGACTGATTTATTTGATTTAATACTATGATAATATAGGAGGTTGCCTCACTTCCAAAATATCTGCAACAAAGATGAAAAATTTCGCCATGAGAGAGAGAGAGAGAGAGAGAAAAAAAAAAACCAACAGCTTACTTAAGACAAATTATGATAAATCCACAAGTTCAAAATTGAAAATGTCTCTGGCTTGGAAATATATACAGCTGATTACAAATAGATTCCATGTAGCTGTACATTTGTTCACTAATACATTAATATGACATCAAAATGTGGTAAAGACAGAGGCAGACAAGATGCAGCCAGGTGTGACTGATGTTCTCACTGCATTTTGATGTCTTCTGTGATCTATTACTGCAGAGATGCACAACAACATAAAATCTATTTGTTTTATTTTATAAATAACAAAATGTTGTTCATGGCGATACGATACAATACATTAAAAAACTCATTAATAATTCATGAACTGATTAGCCTATCACACGAGGCAAATCGATCACGTGTATGAACCTATAGAATGATCATTCTGAAAAGCCCGGAGAGGGTTTTGATTTCGGTCACAGGGGAAATTGGCGTACAATTCATAAGCAACGAAATCATCACTGAATTATTAGTGAAAATATGATTACTGTGATCTTTATATAAAGATCACGTTAATTATAATACCAAATTATTCCCCAAAAGGCAGCATACAAAAACATTAACCGCAGTAAACAACAAAGTTTATTTTCCTGATAAATTCTTGTTAGAACAGAAATTCGTTCTTTTACAATTTCCCATTCACAAAATTAATTGTGCAGTTTTGAATACTCTCAACTTCAACTCTAAATCCTATTTCCTCCAAGTTGGTGTCTTTATTTCTTCTTGAACTTTGTCACTCACCAAATTTTTGTAAGCCCACTTTGTGGCATACTGAGTAGCCCTTGGAACACAACTATTCAAGTAACCTTTCTCTTCCTTCGCATTTTTTGGTTCTTGAAACACGCGTTTGGGCGGCATTTCAAGGAAAAGCTTTCTGAACTTTAACAGCAGCCGAACAAGGAGCACTTTTCCCCTCTGTATGTAATTAACTTTTAATGCATTCAAATCACATTTAGAAAAATCCCTAGAGAGGCATGGGTTTTTGAAGCTATTTAATGCATTCATATAATGTTTGGAAAAATCCCTAGAGAGGCACGGGTCTTTGAAGCTATTTAAAAAACTCGCAGCACGTCTTTTATTGGGTCTAAATACACTCGGCTACACCTCGTGTTTTTAAACCCCGGGCCGATAAAACACTGCTGCTTGTTTTTTAAATAGTACATACAACATTCTTTATTTAACGAAGGTGACATAATTAACCCAATGAGTTATCTAACTTACAGCCTTCACAACAATACTAACCCACCATCCCATCCCAGGGGAGGACATCCATCACACAGTAATCTCGTGTGTGGGACGGGGCTGGAACCCTCGACCTCTTGCACAACATTCCAGTGCACCATCCATTGGGCTAACTGGGTGATGTCATCTATGTGTCTGCCCTCCAATAGCCCATAAGTAAGAACCAATTAAAATACATGTAGGATTCAGCTTATCATTACACAAGAAACTCTTCATAGTTGGCATATGCCTGGCCCTGGTTGTTCAAAGGTTGGATATCCCTATCCACTAGATGAATCTCTATCCGGTGGATAGCATAGTGCTTTTTTGCTATCACTAATCCGCTGGATAGTGATTTATCTTTTGAATAGCCTTTTCCCCACTTTATATGACTGGACACCGGTAAACTGACCTTTCATAATTTTATTCCATGGTAGTGTCACATATGTTAAATATGCAGAGAGTGCAACACTGCTAAGGGATTTTTTTCTGCAAAAAAAAAAAGAAAACATATCCAGTATTACCTAGGACAATACTAAAGTCTGAAGCCTGGTGGTGAAATGGACTTCAGTGGTAGGAATAGAAAGAGCAGAAGCTGCAACCTGAGGGAGGGAGGGTTGGAAACCTAATATGAAAGATATTGGATAGCTGGAGTGAAAGTGGAGGGGGTTGAAAAAAATATGGAAGAAAGGGGTGGTTGTTGTGCAGAAGCACAAGACATGGAAACTGAGAGGTAAAAAGGAGAAGATGATGAGAGAATGGTAAACTAGGGGTAGGTCAAGTCTATGCTTGGCCGTTACATCAAGTCTGTACTTAAGCCAAGTGACTTGTTTGGCTAGAGCTTATTTTGGTTTCAATAGCAAGAAGTGACTTAGGGTATTACTAATCCTCCCTGGATGGGATGCTGGTCCATCCCAAGGTTACCCTTATTATTTTATCAGGCTTCCCTGAAAATTTGTGGGTTACCCCATTTAAAATCCTGGGTAGAGAGAGGCATTATGGAAGTAAAGTGTTTGTCAGGCTGTGTTTGTCATTAAGTGTTTGCCATTATTTTATCAGGCTTCCCTGAAAATTTGTGGGTTACCCCATTTAAAATCCTGGGTAGAGAGAGGCATTATGGAAGTAAAGTGTTTTGCCCAAGAACACAATAAAATATGGAAGATGGTGATTCTTGCTGGCTGCTTAATAGTTTTGACAATCCTGTAGTGTTCCAGAGACTCTTCTCCAATGACATATTACTTGTGGGGCACATGAGGATCTGTTAGGATTGCTACAAATTTAACACAATTATTTACCCTACATCAAAGCAAATCACCTGAATTTCACCCAGTGCTGAGATGATGACAGTAGACCTGCTAAGCAAGGAAAACAAATCAAATTTGTCAGGATTAAACAGTTTCATTTCTCAGGCCAAAATTTAAAAGTAGTGCTTTTTATTTAAACAAGCCTCCTTAGTGGGAAACACTCTGAAAAATGCAGTGCAGTCACAAGAAAATAAACAAAACCACCATACAAACTGGTACTAAAAAAAAATAAAAATTCAAAGGGATAACAATTGGAAGAAAATTTGACTCTTTCACACCCAAGATCATATTAGCTATTCCCCTTACTGTACTGCCTAACAATTCTTCTGAAATTTGGCATTGGATCAACTAGTAATCCCCTACTTGATATTTTTTTTACTCTCATAACTTCTCTGCTTGATTATTGCAGGGAGAAATTCTGTCTTGGTCCATCGCGGGAATTCAAGGGTTAGAACTTACGTTCACTGTTTTACTTGCTATTCTTTCACTTTTTTACACTAATTTAGTATCTAAACTAGGTAGATATTTCGAGACAAAGAAAAGTATACAAGATTCAACAGCTGTACTAGACCTTTTTTCTTTTTGTCTTGACTATCAGTATATTTTGAACTATCAATATCTGTTGTCCATCTGGACTCTACACCACAATTGTAGCATTTTTCATCTTGAACTGATACTTGGTGATCAGTGGACGAGGAAAAAGTTGAAGAGGAAAAAGTTGTATTTCCACACTCAGCACACATTCTCCTGGGGACAAAGAAACAAACCGAAAAATTAGATTTAACATGGATTGAATATTTCAAAATAAAAAATACATTTTAATAAGCTTCTTTAACATTTAGAGGACAAAAAGACTCTCCAACCTCTGACCCTTTGTTCACAATGGGAAGTACAAAAACAATTGGTGACTTAATCTAACAACCAAAAAGTTGCCAGTCTGGCATTCTGTATTTGGTGGTCCTGTAACTATCTCTTAGCATTTCATCACAGCATATTTCTGGTATAAAGTGAGAGTAAGCTGCCTCTTTCTGTTTTTCTTTCCTTTTTTTTTTTTCTCGTTATTTTTTTAAATGGAAAATTAAACCAATGATAGACTAGCATCCCATTCCACACTTCTCCCCACCCAGATGGACCACCATACTTAAAAGAGTTCACCCTTTGGCTCCTTACGGTAATTAACAAATAATTCAGTCATATTAATAATACAATGTTGAGCAGCCAGGTTCTGAGAAAAGGGAACATTATCAATTTTCAGAGTATTACTAAAAATAAACAACAAATTCTCAGAGCTAAATTCTAAAAACTGTACAACAGACAATTGAAATTAAGATCTTGGGAGCAAAAGGGTTTTAATTGTCTACACTGTAGCCTACCAATCACTATCTTCAGGGTCCTCTAAACCACTTCTGTCCTCTAATCCTCTGTGTTGTGTGATTGCCATCTCTGCATGGCCTTTTCCACCTGGACCTTTCATCTTGATGAACTCCACATTAGCTGGACCTTTCCACCAACCCATTGAAACTTTACGAGCAACCTTACTGGCTACACTAGCCTGGGTCAAAGACACAACACGAGATCATGATGATTAAACCATAGTCTTGTCTTGGCTGAATCAGGGGTTTTTAGGGCACAACAGACCATTTATATAACCTTTTGATCCCTGTGAGTGGATCCAATCTTATTTCTCTTTACAATATCACCCCTGAATCACACATTAGGGTCAGGAGAATAAAGCAAATGATCACTAACTAAAGAAGCTCTCGATTGTTAAACAAATTCTCCTTGTCTGCACCTTAGGAAATGTATTGAGAACAGTTTGGAGAAAGAGCATACTGATGTTGGGATCAAAAGGGTTAACAAGGCCGTATTTTGCACTTTTTCTAGTACACAATTACTGAGCTGCATACTTACTCTCCCATCATAAACTTTTTTAAGTGATTCATATCTTATGGATCCCAGAAAGATAACTCCTTCCACTGACTCAGTCTGGAGACAAATTTGAAAAGAAATCTGTTTCAAGTATTTGTGACAAAAATTGTAAGGACTCACTTTAGCCACTTTCACTGACTTTTCAAGTTGAATAGGGTCAAGTGTGATTTTTTACAACAGTTTCATTTGTTATCCAATTGTTTGAATTTTCTTTCAATCAGTTGTTCCTTCCACAAAACTTTGAATTCTGTACAGCTGTATGACTATTTATTGAAAACTCCCACATTGCAGGTTTAATTTTCTTGAATTACAGGTCATTCTTTGTTGGAATATTCTCCATTCAAGAATCCATTAGCAAACAGTTTTGGAATCTAACAAGACCCTGAGAAGTTTAAATCCCAAGTCTCCACATAATTGTACAAGCAGCAGTGCATATTTGAATTGGATCAATGCATATAATGGCTATTTGCATACCCTTTAAAATGCACTCTTGACTTGATTTGACAAACATTTTGGTGGAAACTATTAACAGTTTTATCATAAATTTAAGACACTTCCTGGGAACAATAGATTTCAAAAGCAATACCTTATCTTTCGCAACCAATTCCACACAAACCATCTCATTTTCTTGTAGTGCAAAGTCTCGGAATGTCTGTTGCAAAAACAACAAAATTTCAGCATTACTGTCACGCTAACTGGCATTTTTACATCAAAGGTAGAGCCATAAATCAAGTAACCAGGATTGTTATTTACCTCTTCAAAATTGTCCAGAATAAAAAATATGTTAGGGTATGAAATCTCAGCAGAACTTCCTTTTGTATCCATTCTGAAGTAATAAAATAAAGAGGTTTTATACAGTGCAGACATCAGAATTTCAATACAATAAAAAAGGACTCTCAAAGTCTAGATAAAATTACCATTAATCACTATACATGTACATTCTTTAAATAATTCAAATCTAGGAACAATGGAAACTGCCTTACAACACTTTTATCTAACAAGTCTATCAAATCTTAATTACACTATCCCATTTTAAATGACTTTGCTCCATCAGGTTCCTTGTGTTTTGTTCTGATCAGGACATTCTGATGGTCTGAGGGACATGTACCAGTAAGTCATTACTCACCTCCTTCTATTAGGTGAAGCATACACCTTCTGTGGATAGTAAAGTATATATTAATATTGTAAGTTGTCTTTTCAGGACAAAAACAAGTTGCAACAAAATCTAAGGCAAACTTTTTGATCCTGATGCCAAGTGATTGAAATTAGATAAATCACAACTCTTTCTTTGCCAAAGAATTCTATAAGTGTGAAAATAGATGTTACAGTAACTTCAGTTTTAGAGTTCTACTGACCTGTGATATTCTACTGAGTACTCTCATTTCTTTCTCCTGAGGCTTTGTGCATATTGCACATGTTAGTGTGTATTCAAACTATGCAAAAAAAAAAAGAACAACAACAACAAATGTACTGGCACACCTTGTGCATAGCTTAATAAAATTTATTCAAAGTGTTTCCAAGAAAACAAAGTAAATAAAGCTATGTAGCTTGCCATTTGACCACCAAACACACATCACCAAATTGGCAACTTTCACCAAAATTTTTTTAACCATTTTTTTTCTTCTTGTCAATGTCCCCAAAATAGTCACAGCTTGGAGAACTGACATCACTTCTTGAGCTTAACACTACCCTTGTAGCTGGAGAAATTAGGAGAATTGCCACTCTCTCTAAACGAGAAGCCAATCTCAAAGCAGGTTATACCCCCAACATTTTTCAAATTTCCCTTGTAGACTTCTGCCATTCATTTACACCATTGGGTAGTGAGAGACACCATCTTGTCCGGGAACACAACATAATGACACTCCCTGGACTTGAACCTGGAGTCCAGCACCATTATTACTACTAAGATACCTACTCTCGCACATGAGGGTAAGGGAAGAAATTTGATAAATTCACACATATTTATTTCTTACTTGATGCAGAATTAGGTTGAGATAAACAGACTCTTCCCAGTCAATTCCTGGGTCACCCAAGCTATTGAAAGAAAAGCAGAATTACTATCCCAAAATCTCATTTGCAATTCTTCTTACTGTCTGCCATGCAATTCTTATGATGTTGGTTAGGAAAACTTGGTATTGGATCCACGAATAATTCCTCAATTGATATTTTTCTTTGTAAATTTCTCATTGCTTGTCTGCGTGATATTGTATTGATACTTTAGGAGACATTCTGTCTTGGTCACTCATGGGAGTTTAAGGGTTGATAATAGAAAACCAAAGTGTTCACGAAATTGTATCTTGAGAGCAAACAGTTTAAATCAGTAACTAGAGACAAACCTTGGAAGAACTTTTGAGTCTTTTCTGAACACAGCTATTTTTGACTGTGGAATGATGTAAAAAACAAACAAACTGTTAGTATCAAATTAACAATTTATAGAAGATACTACAATGTTCAAGAAATAAACATTTCAATGATAAACAAAAATTTCATTAGAAGTTGGCAACTGGCAAATTGCAGTGGCTACTCCACAACCGAGCCGGCTACTATGGTCATTCTGCCTTTCAGTTTTTGCATGTCTTTTGGAAAACATTCAATATACTCTAGAGGCAGTCATCAATAAAGGTTTTTTTGTTGATATTTTGTCTCCTTTAGGGTTGTTGGGTGATTTTTGATACAAGTTCTAACAATTCAATCAACAACACAATCAGTTCACTGTGCACCATGTTGAATGGACAGAAGAGAAAGACTGGTGACTTCCATCTCTATACAGTACGTGAAAAACTTCAATATAACAGCGCACAATTGCAAAGTGAATGTTGTTACATGTGACCATTACAGCCTCACTTCCCTTGGTCAGCAGCATGATATGAAGTGTTTGTTCTTCAAGGCAGTAGTCATTCTCTCTGTCTCTAGCCATTACTTGAATCAGAGAATGTCGGCTATACGCCCAGGCCCTTACTTGTCCTTGATTTTGCATTTCAGTATCATATCCATTTCCTTTCTATAACCAACTCTACAAACCTCTTGAGGATTTTTAACAACTTTTCCATCTTTATTTGAACTTTTTCCTCTCACATAGAAAAGAAGGTCATCTCTTGTTTCATCTTCAGAACAAACAAAGTACTGCAAGAATAGCCTTGTCCAAAAAGACTCAATAGCCAAGACAATAAAACCTTCTGCTTAAAACAAGAAAACAAACATTAATACAGATTTGTTAATAATAAATTATATATGTAATCATTCATCTTTACGTCATAAATAACTTATCAAATAAAAGATATTTCCCAGGTTTGAAATGAATTTCAAAAAAAGGTTCCAACAAGTTTAATTGGTATTTTCCTTCATCGCAATAGAAAGTAACATAACATTTTAATCCTTTAACTCCCAGAAGTGATTCAAATGTAACATCTTCTCACAATTTTCATACAGAAGATCTTGGGAGTTAAAGACTTAGCAACAAGAATGCAAATTAAACGAACACTTCAACCATCACTGATAATAGTAATTTCAGAACAACTCTCATATGGATGACCAGGACTGCCTCCCGGTCAGCTCAATGGATAGAGCGCCGGACTGTTGTGCGAGAGGTCGAGGGTTCGAGCCCCGGCCGGACCAACACTCAGGGTCTTAAAATAATTGAGAAGAATTTGCTGCCTTTCTATAACATCAAGAAATGGTTAGATACTCTAGTCTTCTCGGACAGGGACGAATAAATGGAGGTCCTGTCTCATGCAGGGTTAGGGGTAGGAGACGTTAATTTCCCACGCACGAGATTACTGTGTGATGGATGTCCTCCCCTGGGTGGGATGGGTGGGTTTACAGAGGGCCATGTGTTAGAAAACTCTTTACTGGTTTAATCATGTATTTACCCTCTTGAAATAAAGAACATTGTATTGTACTGTATTGTAGGACCAACAGCCCACTATTCTCACTTGAAAACCACACCAAGTTAAGTGAACACTAGTTTAAGGTTGCAGTTTTCAAGAAAGGAGAAAATCCTGCCTCATTCTGTCAACATCTGGAGCAGAGCACCAAGTAAGGCCAGTAGTTTTTTTTTAATATAGATGACAATTCTCAAAGCAAGAACTGGATGTTGTCAGGCAAAAGGAAGTTCCGAATGGATTAATTGGATTAATTGGGAAGAAAATTAAAACGTGTTGGACACAATTGAAATGAACAACCTTTCAGATGATTTTAAGAAAACCACGTAAACTTCGACGAGACAGAAAATACCATCATATTGCATGAAGCAGCTGTTCATATTCTCTCTGACAAATGGGGAAATCCTCGAGTCGTGTATACATGGACGTACTTGAGCATGTAACATAAACCTTACTCGAGCTTGCATACAGTTTGACCTTTCTCTTGCCTTAAGGGAAAAATTGTACGAGCTTTAAATATGCAGGCAATTGTTAGCGGAATCGGCTTCTGCAGCAAAGACTGTTACACTCTCCGTGGTGTTTCACTTGATTTGTGTGAAATTTCAAAACAAAATACACAAAACAACCACAGGTAGTTTGACCCATCATCTGAATGTCACCCATGATCACCCATAATTTCATAAACTACGGTTTGAGTAAAACTGAAACGTCAAATTTCCGGATTCACACATTTTTGGAACTAAAAATTAATCCAGTTTTTATCTATGTGCGTTAGAATTACCTTCACTCTCTTTATCAGGATTCTCTCTTCGTCTTTCTAGACATATACTTTCCAAAACTTTTGTTATTCCATCGGTACCTGCAGTGTGGGCGGCCGCCATAGTAGCTTTCTCGTCACGTGACGATAAGGGGAGCTTCGGATTCTTTTCGTTTAATGTTACATACACGTATGACCCAGTCTTTCGCGCTTGGTGATGTAAACATACGTGTCGAACACTGCTGATAGTCATAAAAGTAGTTATAATTTCCCTACCGAGAATGTCGCTGTTGTAGGCGTCTCTTCTCGGTAAAACAGAGAAAAGGTTGACATATGACACTTTAAGAATATCGAGAGGTCAGAAAGTGAGAGACTTTTCCCCATAGTTTGGCGATGAACTGTTAACGAGATACAATGCCAAAGACGTCGCGAAGAATAATTTGAGGACTAATTCTTCGTGTTTTATGGATAAGAAATCACGCTTTGAGCTTATAAAACTTGTAGAGGCACAGAAAGAGCAACTGAATCGTTATGAAACAAAACTCAGAGGTGAGGAAATGTTCTAAACTTTCATTTAGAATGATATGTTTAGGTGACTGATCGATTATTCGGCAGCATATCTTGACTACATGTATAGTACCTGTCCTTACCTTAACACGTTCGTTGTCTGTTGTATTGTATGGTAATGCAATTTATCATTGTTAATAGCAGTAAAATGTGTGAGAAAACCAAGATTGATTCAAACAGTAGCGTTTGTGACGACATCGCAAACATATGCTGTAGTTACGTGACACAGTTCTTAGTATAGTTAATAATGTTAAATGTACGTGATCATGAATTCAAAACAAGAAAGACATTAAGAACAGCTGAGTTAGTATTAAGCACAGGGTGATGTATGAAACTTAAGATCAACTAAACTACTCATGTTCAGATAACAAGGATCAATTTTCTTAGGGTAGTTTTTGTAATACAGTACATCGATGATGTAAGATAATTTTTCAGTATGTGATCTAAAACTACTTGAAATAACTGCGCTAGTCATGGGTTATCAAAGACTGTATTTACTGTTTTAATCCTTCAACTCCTAAGGGTGACCAAGACAGATTTATCCTTTCAAAATCAACACAATATCAAACAGACAAGTGACAAGAATTAAGAAAAATCTAAAATAGGGGATTACTAGTTGATACAATACCAAATTATCCAAACTACTGTAAGAATTGTATAGTAAAGGTAAAAGGTAAAGGTCTCTATTTCTCTAAACAACATACGTGTTTAGTTACAATTTTAAGGTTGAAATCAGACAGGC